CACTTACACACACTTTTCGGCACTTACTGAACATAGACCGCACATCCGGGATCTCCACTCCCTGTGGGGCCAATTTGGGTTGCCATGACACCATTCGGGGAGACACGTTCAACTTATTTTCAGCAGCGGGTAAGGAGTTGTACTTTGTTTTCACTTTTGCTCTTGCTTCAGAGCATCCACCTCCCCCCCCAAAAAAAAACAAAAACGCGCGTGTTTTCCTCTTCAGTGTAGACGTAAATGTACATGTAGGCTACCTATACACGTGAGTTGAGTGAACGTATTGATATATTTATAGGAAGTTCACTCAGTCTTTTGTCTGATTCTCAGACAGTGTAAAAAGACGAGAATACGCCACCTTTGGAGATGAAAATTTGAACAAGAAAAAAACAACAACCCGTCAACCCCCCTTACCCCCCCCAAAAAAAACAACAACAAAAAAACAAAAAAACAAACTAAAAAACCCAACAACCCCCAACAAAACCCATCCCCCCAAAAAAAACAAAAAACCAAAAACCCCAACAACCCTAAATAAAACCAATAAACGCAAAAGAACCAACAAAAACCAATGGCAAAGTAGACAAATATCCACACATTGGCGGTGTGCTAATGAGCAGCTGAAAGACTTAACGACAGCCTGGTTCATTGAAAACCCAGTTCCGTATCGGAGGAACGCCACTCTTTAGCACATTAATGAGAAGCAGAGAAATAAATCCAGGGAGGATTATCGAAGAGCTTGTAGAGGGGATTATCAAAGAGCAGGCCGTGTGTGTTTTGTTCGAATAGAATGGAAAAGCGGAACAGAGAGCTGATTACTATCTCGGTAGACCAGGTCTGGGGCCAGAACCTAATCCTCATAGAAGCATGCACGAAGTAGTAGAGAGTATTTTTTTAACGGAAGTGACCTAGAAGAAATAGCCCGTCCGAGTGCGTTTATCAAGCGCCCCTTTGGCATTCAGCTTCAAACAAGCGCGCAGGCCGATAATCGTTTCGAGATCAGTATATCAACAACCGGAGAAAATCAACAGGGCATTTAGCTTGACAGTGCTTTATGCTGAGCACAGTGCGCCCGCCCTGTCGGCGCCGCTTCTAACACTAACAGAAATAAGCAGAAGGCAGCTTAGCTCCGCCCATGGTACCGCCCACCGCCCACCGCAGTTGCAAGGGGGGCGTATTTCATCAAGGTAGATAAAATGTTTGGAGAACGTATGCTACGAATCTAAACGAAATGATAGAAACACTACTCAAAGAACACGAAGTCGAGCAAAGCTATTGAGAAGAAGTGAAGTATTATTTATCTGTTTGTATTTCCCCCCGACTGTACGGTAGAAGAACCAAACAAGTACTCGATGCCATGGTGATAAATGTGGTCGTGTCCACAGAGTATACACACACACATCTGAGGTGGCCGCAAAGGTAAGCACTTGATCTCGACCTACCTGTCTCGTTGAGTTGAGCTAACTATAACGCAGACTGTCGTCGTCGGCGGCGAATCGGCCCTCGCTCGTCCCCTCGCGAACTGTCTTCCCTGTGTGTATGTTGTGTGTCTCTGTGTGTGTGTGTGCTCGAAGGAAATGCGCGGAGCCCCCCATCGCCACCGCCACGAGACAGCGACGAAGCGAACGAACGAGCGAGCGAGAGAGAGGGAGGAGGAAAAGAGGGGGAGATCAGTCTTGTCGAGTTGTTCAGTAACAAAAACAGGACCACTTTACGAGTGTTTACACTTGAGGAATAGAGGGCCGTGGAAAAGCTCGTGTGTGAAACGCTGAACGCGTGTGTGTGCCTGCTCAGTCTCTCAGCGTCATGCGCGTGTTTTACACGACCGGTTATGAATGAGCACCGACAGATCAGATAGTTGTTGTTGTGTGTAGATCGTCTTCATGTATTCTCCCTGGCACTGTGGAATATAGCAACATCTCCGCTGTGGCAGAGGGTCAGTGACAGAACCCAGGGACAGGCAGGGGGAGAAGGATCACGTCCCTGGGTCATCCTCCCACACACACCATGGCACCTTACTACAGGAGTAATTTCATGGGGATATCGCCGTTTTTGCTCCTGTTTCTGCTGGGTTACTGCCTCGCAGTTATAGAAGGTAAGTTGTAGTTCACTTAGGCTACTATTTTAGTGAAAAGACTAAAACAATACCACCCCCCTCCCCCATAAACTTAGGGAAAACGTATAAACAAAAAACCACCCCCCAAAAAACAACAACAACAACAACCCCATAACGAAAGAAAAAAAAACCCAACCCAAAGTCTTGGCCCAAGTTGAACCTAAATTGGAAAACTCGAAGCTAGATTTATATCTCTAGACTAGATCTAATATCTAGACTAGATTTCTAGATAATCTAGATCTAGATCTAGATCTAGATCTAGACCGAGATCTACACTTAACATGTCAGAAAATCGAGAATATTTCTGCCTTTTTTGCTGCAAGTAGATTTTTAAATACAATTTATTGTCTATTAGTTACACCCCCCTCTTAAAGATTATTAAAAAAAAATCGGCACAAGAACAACATATTATAAACCCCCCTTGTTCATATTCGAACATCTTGACCAAATACACTTATCTAGTTTGGAATTTGAACCAGGACTTTTATAATCGCCTAGGCCTAATGTATAGATACATATTCTATAGGCCAAGCTTAGCATAGGCCTTGAGACTAGAGGCAAGTTTTAACGATAAGTACAAACACCCCATGTGTCTCTTCAGCACTTTCTGTATAATCACAAAGTAAAGTAACGCCAAAACCTTTCACGTCTCTTCTGTTTACAAAAATAATGTAATCAACGTTGTTCTAAAAATATGATTAAAACCTGCTAACAATTTTTGTATTGTTATAATGAAACCGAAAAGAAAAAACAGAGGGAATTGTCAGAAGTTCTAGAATCTATCTAGATTTCTAGATCTAGAAGTTAGTTCACCAAAAGCTGAACACTTTTACTTTTTCTACGCACGCCACCTTCGTCGTTGTACATTGTGTAATTTGACAAACCGCGTACACACAGCGGATGCCTTATGTTCTAGGCACACAAGAAGTAAGTCGCCCTTCACATATCGAAGGAGAGACAACACTCTGTTAACATGTTATGCACACACTTTCAAAGACCCGATGTCCTCTCACTCTGTCTCTCTTTCTTTCTCTCTCTATCTCGCTTTCTCTCCCTTTCTTTTCTCCCCTCTCTCTCTCTCTCTCTCTCTCTCTC